TAAAACTAGCTCCTTCACTTGACAGTGAGGGCTTTCCCAGGGTGGTTCCAGCTCCCCAGCCCTGTCTTTGCTCTGGCCCACTGCAGGCATTTGTGGAGGCTTCCCACATGCCTGGAATGAACTTCCTGGGTTCCTCATTCCCATCTGCACTTACTGGACTATTTCTCTTCTTCCAAGGCCCTGTTACTGTGACCAGCTTCCTGCATCAAGCCTTCGCAGATTCCTCTTTTCTCTCCCCCCTCAGATTTTCTTAGAGAACTTTGCCTTGCTCTTCCCTCCATCACATTCTGCTTCTTAGCATTCCATATTTGTAAGTTATCATTTACCATCAGAAGACTTTTTGTTTCAGCGTAGCAGACGCTTCTCAGTAACACCCACACGGTCCCTCTACCGAAGGGCATTTCCCCAAAGCCATCCGTCTGTCTGTTGTAACAGTGGAGTGTGTCTTTCCACTTGGATGGCTTGTTCCTTGATTGTTTATGTTGACATCCTTTGTATAAATTCTGCCTCTGCTTTCTCCACTCTGTAGCACTTCAGACAAGTCCTGCTTTGTTTTTCTGAATTATTCACGTGCATTATTTCTCATGCCTTAGTAATATTGCGTTATGTTCTTATGCTCTCCATTTGGCTCATTCATTGAACACATTTTGCTTCCAGTTTTTCTTGTCACAAATAGTAGCATGCTGATGCATGTGGACATATGTGATACTCCCTGTTGGATTGAAAGTTCTGCTGAGTGTGGGGAGTGTCTCGTTTCATTTTTATGTCTCCAGGGTGAGCCCAGGGTCTGGCCCTTGACGGACTTCTCTGCCATCTCTCTCAGAACTCTTGGGTCGCCTCCGTGTAGTGTGTCCTTGTTGTTAGAGATGTTTGTTGCCTAGGACCGCGTGAGGAGCACAGCAGGCTTCGGGCCCAGGTCATGGCTCAGCTGTTGTAGCTCATTAAGAGGGGGAGGAGGACAGGCTGATGGCGGTGCTCATCTCATGTGTTTCTGGAGCAGTGCGGCTTCCCTTTCATTGTGAGTGTGACGCCGAGAGCTAGGGTGGCCCTGCTCCCTCTGTGTAGCGGAGTGTGGAGGCTGTGCAGGGCTGCAATCAGGAAGGACCTGGCAGCCCTGGAGAGCAAACATGAACCCAGGGCTTTTCCATCTCTGACATTGGTTCTCTCGGCTCAGGAAAGATGGGTGGCGTGACCATTTGAGTCTGTGACCTTGTTGGAGGTAGGTCTGTCCTCTGACAGGCCTTTTCACCCTGTCCCTTGTTGGGGGCCTTCCTTTAGGTCATTGCCTAGGTGATGGGCTTTGTTGTGAACCCTACCCGGTGTTCACATCACCTTTCAGGAGTGAGTCATGGCAGTACGCTGCCACTGGACGGGTGGATGAAGGCAAGGTGCCCGGTGTATGCCAGCAGCATGAACAGTACTGTTGATACACGTTTGGACGTGGAGCTCTGGCGGGGGGGGGGGGGGGGGGGGGGGGGGGGGATAGGCAGCTTCGCTTCCTTCTGAAAGAGTGCCGCCTAGTGGTGACAGAGGCAGCTATGGCCTTAGGCAGAGAGGAGCCAGCAGCTAAACACTGGTTTTCCATCTTTCTGCCACATCTACGCAGTTTTCCAGGGTAGCTGAAGGAAGTGGCGTGTTGAGTAGGACTTCTCAAACTCTCCCTTAAAATACTGAAACAGCTGGAGAATGTTTGAATCGATCAAGGTGGCAACTGCTCTTTCTGCTAGCTCACCTGGCCCGGTTATTTTATAAGAATTAATGAGATTATGATAGAGTCCAAAGTGCCCGGGGTGGGGTTGGGGTGTTGGGAAAACCATGGCAAGACCTCTATGAACTCATGCAAAGTGAAGTGAGAAGAACCGGGAGAGAGATCGTTGTGCACAGTGATGTTGTGATGAAAACCAAATGTGGAAGACACGGCTGCTCTGATCAGTACAGCAAGACGATTCCAAAGGACTCAAGGTGAAAAAAGCACCATCCACCTCCAGAGAGATAACTGAAGGAGTAGAATTTTCTCCCTTTCTTCATAATTTTTTTTTGCTTTGTTTTGCCATGTGGCTAACAAGGAAATATGTTTTGCATGATTTCTCATGTATAATTGATAATGTATTGTTTGCCTTCTCAGTGGATAGGAGAGAGATGAGAGGGAGGGAGAGAATCTGGAACTCAAAATTTAAAAAGAAAACAATGCTGAAAATAAACAAGGACAGAAGACAAAGGAAAGAGTTGAGGACCATAGTGATGACCATGTTAAGGAACCTAGCAGCTGGGTCCGTTGACCTGGGTGGGAATTGTGACCATAGATCATTAGGGTCAGCGCTATCTGGTCTTGCCCTTTCATCTTCCAGAGCAGGAAATGGGTCCAGACATGAATCCCAGAAAAGCCAGAGACAGAACAAGAAGGGGGCCTGTTTCCTGGAGCATTTATAGCCGTACCTTTTATGGCCACTTAGAAGTAGAAGCAAAGTAAATGCCAGCAGTTGAGGAACGGCTAAACAAACTGTGGTGTGGGAATGAAATGAATGTGAAGACTTGTATAAACTGAGGCAGAATGAAATAAACATAACCAAGAAAACAGTATACATAGTGACTAATTATATGGCACTTACTGTGTACCAGACACTATGCTGAGTACTTTGCAGTTATCTCTTTCCACCCTCACAACACCTCTGGGAGGTAGGTGCCATGATTAGCCCTATTTACAGATGAGGAAACTGAAGCACAGCCAGTAAGTGTCTGAGACTGAATATGGACTCAGGTAATGTCTAAGCTTGGCCCCAAAGAAGAGATGGGAGCATGTCCCTCTCCCTTCTTGGCAGAGGTAGGAGACTGGAAGGTGTGGAACATAGCTTTTAATGTCAGATTCTGTTGGCATTTTGATTAGTTTTGCTGGACTGTTTTTAAATTGTTTTATTAAAGGGATGACAATGGGGAAAGGAGGCAACCTTTTGGGGGGGGGAACAAAAGTTCTGTAAAGTCAAAAGATAAAAATGTAAAGAATAAGAATGGAGGTGAATCAGTCAAGGTTACACAGGTAATGAGTGTATTCATTCATCACCTGCTGGGTTGCAGAAAGAGAACTCAGGTTGCCCTGGACTCCCACTTGTTCTGTAGCTTAGCTGGTAAGCAGCATCCCCTTGGGTCTCTGCTTGAAGACCCCCAGGGAAGGAAGGCTCGGGACCTTCCAAGGGAGCTCGTTCTGCTTCGGGACACTTCCTCTCATTGCTGCTGGTATTACACACATGCACACGCGCACACACATGCATCAGAACTAGTTGAGTTCTTCAGCATGCCGGTCCTTCAGATACTCAGAAACAACTGTAGCATCTTGCCGTTCCCTGCCCTTCCCGTGTGCACCCTCCATCACCCTCAGATTTGGGCTCTCATTCCCTGCCTTGTCTGTGTGTGTTAGAAAGCAATAGAGGATTTGAAGGGGAAACGGTGACCCTTCCATAACCTAGAATTGAGGATTCGCTAACCTTGAAGTTGATGGTCATCAGTCTAAGTAAGAGAAGGGCAATTCTGGGTGTTGCTGTCCCCCTCTGTACCGTGGCCTGGCCTTCTCATTGGCAGGTGCAGGAGGTCAGCCTTACTCAGTCACCAGCAATCATAAGAAACAGATCACCTAAGTCGTGAGCAGATAAATGCTAACTTCCCAACTACAGCTATTCCTTCCACATCGCGGAGATTAGGGGCGCGGCAGCCCCGTGGTCTGGAAAATCTGCATAAAATTTTTTGGCCCTCCTTTTGTACCAGAGAAGGTTTGAATTCTTACAATATTAAAAGATAAAATATGTTGATATTATACAATGCTATGCATACATTTTATGCATTTCTGAGTTTCTAAACTTTTTCTGTGTTATTTGTTGGCCTTCAGCTGTTGTCTGTTGTTTTTGCAAAATTCCCCCCAAATTTCCCTTTAATTTCTTATGCTGACCCACGATATATCGAAAACTGTGATGGGGAAAGTCATGATGTGGGGGGGGATACTTGCAGAGATCCTGGAGGCTTCAGAGGAGAGATGTTGATTCTGCACAGAAAACCTGTTATTTTCCTTTTTTTAATTTAGGAATTTGACAGGCATCAACAAAGATGAGCATTTCCACATACAAAAAACTTAGAAGAAGGTCCATGTAGGAAACTAGGAGTCTCTGTTACATAAAAAAATGATGCTGATATCACCCTGCTTGTCTGTGTCCCCTTCGGAACATTATTCTGCCTTCTTCCACATATTTTGAAATGTTTCTTTGGCTTATTTTTACTTTTTCCTCACTGTCACCGCACCTCACCCCAACCCCATCCTTCCTTTGTAACAAATAAGTAGACTCAAGCAAAGTAAATTCACACTTTCTCTGCACATGTCTGTCAGCTGCTGAGATGTGGGAATCATTGCCTTGATTAGTCACTGAATTGTCTTTTCTATAGTAAAAATACTAGGATTCAGTCAAAGGTTAACCCAAGTATCAGTGATCTCAGTCAAGTAGGATGATGACATATTGGTGTTTACATGAAAGCCTGAAAGCAGTAAGCAGCTGTTCAATAATTTTTTTCAAAATAATTACAATTTTCTTTTTAAAATTTCATCTTTTACAGATTTTCTTGATGTTCAGTACAAACTCGAGGAAGAAAACCGAATTGCTAAACTTAGATCCACCCTTGCTTGTATTTTCTTTTTTTTTTTTTTTCCCTCTTTCTTTTTAATTCTTTTCTAGGAATTGTTCTGAAGTCAGTGTTGTTGAAAATTTGCTGTCCTGACTCTGGTCTCACATGACATTTTATACCTCTTGTAGACTGGTGTTCTGTTCCTCTGTATTCTGATATTCCTTCCCTCAGCTGAGGGTAGAGCCTGTGTCCAATTAGATCCAAGTGTCCCTTGGGCCATGCAGGTAGGAGGGACTTCATAGAATAACAGTTGAAATAGGTAGGAAGTTGTAACTTTATGTCCGTTGTTCTTTTATTGAAGAGAAAGTACTGATGCTCCCTTTGTCCTTTCCAAATAGGTGGGTGACATCGTGAAAGTGACAAGGATGAACATCAATGGCCAATGGGAAGGAGAAGTCAACGGCCGCAAAGGGCTCTTCCCTTTCACGCACGTCAAGATCATTGACCCTCAAAATCCAGATGAAAACGAGTGATTTCTGTTACCCGTGTCTACTGCTGCTGCTACTGCTTCATGTTCTGGCTCTCATTAGTAGCATCCTCTGAAATGGGATTCCATTCTCTCTCACAGGGCAAGCTAGGGAGCCTGGCCCAGCTCTCCAGCTTGCTTCCGTTTGGTGGTCTTTTCTACACATCTGGAATGCACACAGCTGGCAGCCTTTGGGCCTTGGGATCGTCGCTGGCTTGTCTTAGACTTAGCCAATTGAGGACCTTTTTGGATCTTAGGCTGGAAAGCCCGAGCGGAAACAGCCAGGCAAAAGGACATTGAGGAGGAAAGGGTCTGTCTGCACCCACTTGGATGCTCTCTTGGCTTCATCCCATCAAATTCAGTTGGAGAAAGAAAGCATTTGGCAGTTATACTTGAACTTGGTGTATAGCTCATCCTCAGTGATACTTGGTGTGCCATCTTCATCTTCTTTTTGAGGGGAAATCACGGAACTCAAGGAACAGGAGAGAATTCTGTCCTGTCACAGTAGAAGCTGAATTGGGACTTGGGGGAAGAATCATTGGAATATGTATTCTGAACAGTCATAAATGACAAGTTTTCTCAATACGAGGAAATCTGCCTGCCTCTGAGCTTCTGAAGTGAAATTTCTTTGACTTAAGGAAAAAACTACATTGAAGCCAAGGCCTGTCTTTGTATCACGTCTTCATTGTTGTAAATGGTAGCCTGTTTTGCTATGTGCTAAACAGAAGGAAAAAAAATCATATTTAATTCCATCTTTCCAAGCACTGTAAACTGTAGAAAACAGACTTAAAGGAGAAATACTTCCTTTTACTTTTTCCCAGTGAAACCATTCTGAATCTACACACACACGCACGCACACACGCACACATGCACACACACGCACCACACGCGCACACACACATGGAGCCATTTCATTTTATTTGTTTGGTCTGCTTTCAATGAATGCCCGTTTGAAAGGTGAACCAATAGTCTTCCCTAAGGAAGATTGTTCTCAGAACCTTGGAGTCGAATCCACCGCCATGGAAAGCGAGCAGTTTAAGTCCTTGCCCTTTGAAGAGGCTGGAAAGAGCAGTCAGGCTCCAGGCTGTATCTGGGCTGTGTTATCACCAGCTGGAGAAATCCAGGGCTCGTGCTCCCTCGTGGGCAGGCTTGAGCGGCCCAGGAAAGGCAGGTGCTAGTTGGCTAGACCTACTATACTAGCAGAGCTTTGTTATGCAGGATGATCTTGCTAGATTAAAAAAAGCCCCTTAATTACACATGGCAGTAGGAATCTGTTGCAAATATGAGACTTGGGAAATTTTAATACATTGACAGAAATTCAAACTTTTAATATCATTATCTGCCAGATACTAGTAAAGGGCAAGGCAGAGGTTCACACAAAAACCGAGCACTGACTTCAAACATAGAAGGAGCCCCATAACTAGTACATTTGGTCTTTTGGGCTGCCTTTCCTACAGACTTTTTTTAGCCTTTATATTTTTGCAGCTTAGAATGTGTTCTGTGTTTTTGAGCCAAAGCTCATAGACTCATAGAATGTTAGAACTGGAAGAGAGGCCGCGTAGAAGTCCTCAGATGCAACAAGCAAGTTCAGTTTTATAGGTGAGGACGCTGAGGTCCAGAAGGGAGGCTTGAAGTGATTGGCTCAGGGTCCCACCAGCCAGGTCTGCCTCCCACTGCACCACCCTGCCTCTCTGAGTGATTCCCGGTGGTTTCCATAGGACAGAAGACGTGGCTGCCAGACGGCCAGATGGAGCACGATTGTGTTCGTGAACATAATAAAATTAATAAGATTGAAAAACTTGAGGAGATTGATGTGGGCCTGGGTGTCCCCAGCCAGTGACTAGTCACCATAGGCTGTGTGTGCAGTGACCTACTTCAAAAATGCCTACTCTTCAGCCAACATTTCCACAACTACTTGAAGCTATTTATCAGTCTGTTCTACTGAAAACATGCCCTTTGGTTACTCATTCTGCCATTAATATTCCGCCAAAAGCCAAGGTCCCCCCATGGTGTTCTCATGGAATGGCCACAGGACCAGCCTTTAATCTACTCACCCCTTTGTGCACTCACTGCTAGACTTGGCCTTGGTCACGCCTTCCAAAGAGAGGTCTCCTTACTGACCCTGGCAGTCTGTGAACGTGGGCAAGCCTGCCTGGTTTGTGAGAGACGGAAACTCCTCTGTAGACCACCTTTAACGTTTAGCAGCAAGGCAGTCAGTCCTTTCTAGGGGGCGGAGGGCATGCTTGCACACTGTGTATTAAGATGAGTTTTCCTTTGACCTGCTCTTCTTAGGACTCCTCGTCTTGTCCTGTGTGGGTTGATGTAGGTCACTAAGGAGTAGATCAAAATATGTAGGAAGGCAAGGGGCTTCCCCCCCATTTATTCTTTACACTAAAATGCGTGGATTCCCAGAGGAGAGCACATGTTTCTAGTGCTGTCAAGGATTCCCAGAGCCCAGAGAGGATAGTCTAGTATTAGTGAGAAGAGCAAAGTCACTTTTCTCTCCCTCTCGTAGAATCTTAGAGGCGAGGACCCTTACAGCTGGAATGGCCATGGGAGAACCACCTTGTCCATTCTGGAGTGAAAAGAGCTCCGGGTTTGGAGCTAAGCCCTGCGTCTGAACCTCACCTCTGCTGCTCTCTGGTTTGGTGACTTGAGGCAAGTCCCCTCCCCTCTCTGGGCCTTGATTTCCTCACCTGTAAAATGAGGAGATTGGACTGTGGATCATCCCTTAGTGTCCCTTCCAACTCCTAAAGTTCTATGAGCCTACATCGCTGCCACATTCTACGAAAGGGAGCTGGGTTACACGAGGTGAGAGAAGATTAGAAGGGGTAGGCCCCATGAGAGCCTTCCGTGATGTGGCCCGCTCCCCAACTCACAGGCGAGGCTTCCCGATGGCTGATGGATGAGCATCTGGGGTCCCCGTCGGCTGCGAGGCCTGTTCTCTGCCCTGGGAGGATTGCATGCGCTCCGGGGGCAAGCATTTCCCTTTGAGCTGCCTGTGCTGCTTGCTACTCTCCCTGCTTTGTCCGTCACCCCAAGCTCTGGATGTTCCGTGGGCCATCACTGTGGTTTATTTATCCTTTGGTTCTGTCAAGCCTTGATGGTCATGAGGCTGCTTCATTTGATGCACTGTTTAAGGGCTCGTGCTCCAACCCTCGTTTTTCTATCATTCGTGGATTGTGAAGACAGCTCCTGGGGTCTCCAGCCTCACCGCACTCCCTGGTCCAAGGAGTTGAGGTGGGTGATGTCTTCTGACTTGGGTCATTAACCTCGTGTGCCGGTCTTCGTGCTTCTGTCGTGGGCTGAAGGGGGACTCCTCTCTCCATGCCCATGGCTGCCTGGGTCCGTGCTCAGTCACTTACACACTGGTTGGGCACCTGCTGAAGACGATCCAAGCGTGGGAGGAACACAGGGACGGTGTGGATCCTTGGGCCGCTGTGATGAAGCTTCGCAGCTACATCTTGGGGAGGAGACAGCTGTTGACTTTGGTTTTAACACGGTGTTCCTGACTGATGCTTCCTGTGGACGATGTGGGGAGAACCTCTTGAAGTCTCACCTAGGAACCCAAGGCCCAGGAGAAAGGTGTTCTGTGGTGCTGACTTCAGTCGCCCCTACTTCTGCCCAAGCAGCTGAGGTTCCTCTGCACGAGGGAGTGGCCTGGCGTCCAGGATGGGCGTCACTGTGTGTCCTCCAGCCCCCAGCAGGACGGACGATGACTCTTTCAACTTGTAACTTAAAAATCGTGAACTTCAGGCAATAATATTTTCTGTGTAAGCTTTTAAAATTATTTTTGGGGGATCATAGCTTGTTTTATTTTGTGCTATAAAATTAACAGTATTAAATGACTTCTATTCTTAGAATACATTGAGTGTCTTTTCTTAACAGATTAGTGCCTTTTTATTTTCCTACTCCATTGATTCCATAGTACTGGGCCAGACATTAAAGCCGGTGTTTTCAGTGGCCTGTTTGTACACTGTCTGAATAAACCTTGCATCAACTTGCGGCGCTTTGGGTTTTTTTTCCTCATCTTAGTGTCCTCACTGATTTCCTGAGGTTCCCCGACACATGCACACACGCACGCGGCCCTTCCACAGAGGTGGCAGAGAGTGCAAGGCCACCCGGGAGGTTGGAAGACCCTCAGGGTTGTGGCGCCCCAATGAAATGCTAGATCTCAAGCCCTTTGCAGACTTAACCCTCACAGCAGGGTCAGCTGCCCTCATGTCCCAGGCCTGGTGTGTGGGCAAAGGGTGGAGCTGAACAAGGAGCCCAGCTCACTTGTTTCTCTCAGGGATCCCTCACGAGCCCCAGGTTTGCAGTTCTCACATCTTCCTTGAGTTCACAGTTCCACGCCTCCACTGGAAATCGTTGCAGATTGGACTTGCCCATGCCTTCAAGCCTCTCTCCCACCGCTCTCCGGGTGCTTTGTAAACTGCAGCTCCGGCTCCCCGTGCTCCTCCCTGCCCCCGGTCTGCCCTGGTCTGCCCTGCACATGGTGCCAAATGGGTCTTCGTGAATCGCTCTGGTAAAAATGTCGTTGGCTTCCCATTGCGTAACTCCTCCCTTCCTGACAGAGTAGATGGAGCTCTGAACTGGAGAGTCAGAGAACAGGGTTTTGTGGGTGAACTTAGGAGATCTGTGAAATGGGGGTGCTAGTACTCAGAATTGAGATAGTGGAAGGAGCAAAGGGGCTCGTACCAGAAAGTGCCGCTTGTGTGTTGGGAAGTAGGTTTGCATCGAGTCCAGGCTGCTCCGGACAGGAATAGGGGGCCCGCTCAGACCCTGGGGGTGCCGTTGATCGCTGGAGCTTGTTCTCACACCATCCCACACCTGGAGGGCCCTTCCTTCCCGAGCCTGACCGTGAGAGGGAGGAGCCACGGCTGCCAGCTTGTGGTCCAGCTCTGGAAGGGTCCAAGTTCTAGGGCCGCGTAAGGGCAAGGGGCACCAAGCTGGAGCCCACCGATTCCCTGCAGGCTACTGGGGAGAGAGTGAAGGTAGCGGCCGAGTGTGCACAGTTGCACCTGGATCGTTGGGCTCCAGGCAACCCCGCCTGGGGCATTCTTGGCAGAGCTGCCTGAGTGGTCTGCCGTTTCCTTCTTCAGCGCATTTTGCAGATGAGGAAACTGAGGCAAACAGGGTGAAGTGACTGCCCAGGGTCGCCCAGCTAGTACTCTGGAAGATGAGTCTTCCTGACTCCAGGCCTGGTGCTCTGTGCACTGCCCCTTCAGGCCCAGCACGCTGTGCAGTATGGCGCCCCGTAGCTGTAGGAGCGGAGGCTGTAGGAAGACAGCAAAGAGCCCTGGCTCCCTGCCAAATGAAAGCCTCTGAAAGCCCCAAACACCTGAATACAGAGAATGCAGAGCTAGGAGGGGCCTTAGGACAGGAGATGTCCCAGCTTGCCAGGGAGAGAATGCCCCCAGGCACTTGGAAACTGAGGCAGGCAGAGGTTTAGTGACTTGCCCTGAGCATAGTGAGTTATCTGGGGCTGGATTTGAACTCAGGTCTCCCTGACTCCCGGTCCAGACCTCGCCTTTGCAATGGACTATCCCTAGGGACAGGGATCCTATGATCACTTCCCCCTCCCTGGGCCTCAGTTTCCTTTTCTGTAAAGTGAAGGAGTCCAACTGAGAGGCTTTGCAGCTCCAGCTCTGAGATCCCGTGATCACTCTCTGAGCCTGTTTCCCCATCTGTAAAATGGGGACTACAGTTCATGCTCTGCCTCCTGGCCAGTGCTTTGTGAACTTCAGAATGCCGTAGAAAGGGAGCCCCGTGCCCTGGCTGCTCTCCCCGTTAGACGGTCTTGTTCAGACGGACTCCTCCCTCCTCCTAATGCTTCTTATTCCCTCCTGCGCCGCCAGGTGGCAGCAGTGTCCCACTGCCGGGAGACGGCATGGCCAGGTCGGTCTTCAAGGTTTGCAACCCGCTCACCCGACGCTGGGGATACCGATGCAAGCAGAAGGAAAGCTGGCGCCTGCCCGCGTGGAGCTTCCACTCTGCCAGCCCGGAAAGGAGGCGGAGGGAGCCGGGGCTGGTCCGGGCGTCGCCCAGTGGGCGGAGGCTGCGGGGCCTGAGCGTGGAGGGGCAGGGTTCGGGGCGCGGTGGACGCGAGTGAGCGACGTGAGGGCCGGGGCGAGGACTGACCGAGGATGGCGAGGGCGGCCTCTGGTCATCAGGGCCGTGGAAGGAGCCCCACGAGACCGGGCGGTCGAGCCGCGCGGTCGGGGCTGGGTGGTCTGCAGAGGTTGAGGAGGAGGGAAGACGAGCGTCCTTGGAGGGCGCGGGGAGATCGGGGCGACGCCTGAACCTCCCTCCCATCTGAAGGGGTCAAAGGAAGGCCCCTCTCCCCAGCCCACAGTGGGGTACAGAAATACATTTCACTCAGTGGGGACATAGGGGAGAAAGGGGCCGAGCCGCTGGAGAATGGACTGGTGGCGGAGGAGGGAAGTTAGGTTAAGGGAGGGATTGACTAGTTCTCAGCAGAGCAAACTCGAAGGACGTGCGCACTATTGATAGCGGCTCTTTTTGATATGGCCAAGAATGGGACTCAGAGGGGCTGCCATCAACTGGGAATGGCCGAACTGATCTGGTCTGTGATTGTGCTGAAACGTCCTATGAGAAATGAGGAAGCAGCCTATTGCTTCTAATGCTTACAACATGACTAACGCGAAGATAGGTTTAATAGGGAGGCCTATGCAGAGCCTCTATCAGATTGTGCGCTGGCTTGGGGAGGGTGGTGGGGAGGAAGGGGGAGAAAAATGTTCAACTGAAAAGCTTATGGAAGTGATTGTTGATCAATCAAAAGAAATCAATTATAAAAAAAAAAAGAAATGAGGAAGCAGGATGCTCTTAGAAAAACCTGGGAAAACTTACATGAGCCGACGCAGAGGAAAGGGAGAAGAGCCAAGAGGACGCTTCCTACAAGGACGGCAATATGGCAAAGCCAAGCAACTTTGAAGGATGTGTGGACCCTCATCGATGTAATGGCGTCCACACGTCCTGGGGACTCACGATGAAACATCCGACCGACCTCCTAAGGGACGAGGGACTCGGTGCAGAATGGATATAGCCCGTGTGGAAATTTGCTTAGCTTGACTATTCGTGTTTGTAACAGGGCTTTTTTCTTTCCTTCTCAATTGGGTGGGTTGGGAGAGGAGGAGGATTTTTTGCTGGTTCTAAATCTACGTATGATTTTTTAAAGAGAAAGAGCTGCTGCCTAAGCTTGCCCCATACATCCTAGCTGTGCTTGTGAGGGTGATTTTGTTTTTTTTACCCCAAATGTAAGGCTTTACATTTCTCCCTGATGCAGTTCATTTTATTAGATTCAGTCCCTCTCTGCCACGTGTATCCTGGGTCCAGTTCCCTTCTGGCCTCTCCAACAAGGTGCCGCCGTCCTCTCCACCCTCTCTCTCATTCTCAGTCTCTCCCTCCTGATTGCTTCTCTGCTGCTGCAGCCTTAAAACCCTTCTCTTAATGATAGCAGTGCGGCTGGCCATCCAGCTCTTCTCTCCTCTCCTGCCTTCCCTTGCTCACTCTCTTTTGAACCCTTCCAGTCATCATTCCGCCCACACTGACTTCTCCAAGATGACACTGATCTCTTGGGGGTTTTTTTGGGGGGGGGGTGCTAGGCAATGGGGTTAAGTGACTGGCCCAGAGTCACACAGCTAGTGAGTGTTTTGTGTCTGAGGCCGGATTTAAGTTCAGGTCCTCCTGACTCCAAGGCCGGTGCTCTCTCCACTGCGCCACCTAGCTGCCCCCACACTGATCTCTTTATCACCAGATCCAATGGCTTTCTCAGTCCTAATCCTCCTGGCCCTCTCTGCAGCCTTTGATGGCATTGCCTTTTCCCACTGGGAAATCTCTCCTCTCTAGGTTTTTGGTACCCTCCTCTCTGCTGGCTCTCCCACCTGACTGATCTCTCTTCAGTCTCTTATTGCTTCTTCATCCATGCCATGTGCTTTGGGGGTGTCCCCCAAGGCTCTGTTCTGGGGCCTCCTCTCTCTTCCCTTGTATCATTTCTCCTGCTGATCGATCTCCTCAGCTCCCATGGATTAAATTATCATCTCTATGCTGATGATTCTCAGGCCTAGTCTCCCCTGCTAGTCACCCCTCCCCACCTGCCTCTGAAGATGTCCTTACCATCTCTCACATAGGTCACTGTCTCTTCACTCATCATCGCTATGATCGTGGACAATTTCAGTAGCCTTCTAACGGGTCTCCCAGCCTCTAGTCTCTCCCCACTCCAGGCCATCCTCCACTCAGGTGCCTGGATGACTTTTGTAAAGTGTTACTGCCCAGCTCAAGGACCCCCACTGGCTCCCTATGCCCTCTGTTCTCCCATCTGACTCTCCTCATGTACTCTACTAGCTGTGCCCTCTGCCTGGGATACCCTGGCCCCTACCCTGCCCTCTTATCTAGGATTCCTTCAAGGCTCCACTCAAACTCCATCACCTGCAGGAAGCCTTTGCAGGCCCTCCAGCGGGCTGCCAATGCCTTCCTCTTTCAGATCACCTTGCCCGACCCTGCACGTGCACCTTCTCTGTACCTTGGTATGTTGACTCCTATTGGAATATGAGCTCTTTGGGGGAAGGGGCTGTGTTTTTTCTTTTCTTTGTATCCCCAGGACTTGGCACAATGCCCGGCACATAGTAGGTGTTTAATATGTGTTGACTGATGCACCTACCGTGAGCAGCCCACTGCCTCGTAAGGCAGCCTCGTTCACTTTGGGACTGTTCTGATTGTGAGAAGGTTTTTCTTCCTACTGAGCTGAGGTCAGCTTCCCTGTGCCTTTGACGCGTCCCACCTAGTTCCCTCTCCAGAGCAGGACAGAGATCTTTGCCATGTCAAAAGCCCGCCCTGGGAATGGAGATAGGGGAGAAGACTTCATTCTGTGAGGGTCCATAAGCTAAGACTGCCAAGGGTTAGGTGGTACAGGGTGGGCGAGAGCCCCCTCCCCCATGGCCTGGAGCAGTCCCAAACAAGGGCCACGAGGCTTCTTCACCCCTGGG